AAAAGAAAATTGTTATCTGTGTTTCAAATTCTCCCCAACCACTTTCTTCAATTTCATATGGTGGTTGATTTATCACTAAAACAAAAAAAAAATAAAAATCTTTTTTTTTTAAATATAAAATATTTTATTATTTATTTACCTCGAATATTATTTGGATATGTTTCATGTAAACGAAATTGTATTCGATTAATATAACTTGACATATCATCATTATTAAATGATCGAACATAAAGTATCCATCTATGTGTATGTCCATCAGAATCTCTTTTTGAACCAAAATGTTTTGCTGTATTACCATAAAGAATTGGTTTAATTATTATTACTGGTGTTCGCTAAAAAAATTCAATAATTTTTTTTTTTTCATTTATCTATTACTGAATATTGACATTGTTACTGATTCTAATGTTAATGTTGACATCTAAAAAAAATAAGTTCAATAATATACATGTTACAAAAACCAAAATTCTTCTATTATAATACATAGATCAAACAAGAGATTAAACACGATTTTAATGTTCAATTTCAATTTTTATCTAGATAGAGATAATATCAAAACAAATTTTGACATTATAACTTATCATTTGCATCGATGTTCATAGATATAATCATTTAAATTTCATATTAAAATTAAACTGTTATTTTTTTTATTCACATCAATTCGTCGTTTAGTTAGAAAAAAAATGCTCTATTCTTTCATTCTGTTTCTCGTTCTATTTGCTTTACAATATATTATTATGAGTTAATAGTACACATTTATTCAACATATATAATAATGAAATTGCATTGGTTTGAGATTTATATCTAATAAAGTAAAATTTCACTAGATGACACAAGTTGGCAAGATATATTCGAAATAATAATTAAATTCATTTAAAATGAAGTATAAAAAAAAACATATTCAATCTATAAACATCTTATGATTTTATCAAAGAAGAACAATATTTACGTAAAATATGAATCAATCAATCTAATTATCTTTTAATATAGCTTCTATAGGTAATCTTTAGCTCACAATATATAAAAATCATGTATGCTTAAATTAGAAAAACAAGATAACATTATTATTATTGAAATTATAAAGAGTCTTGTAAATATCAAATAATACAAATTCAAAGAAATAAAATTCTATCTGAACTCTATGATTTAGTGTCTCTAATAAAATCCGTTGGGCGCGAAATTTTCAAATATCCAAACCCAACAGATTTCTGTATCTATAGGCACATTTCTGCAAGTATATTGAGAGTCTTGGAAAAAAAATACTAGCACATAAGACTCATTCTCAAGTACTGAGGATTAATATCAATCAATGAATCCAAAATTTGATGATAATGGGCAGGATTAAACATCATTTTTTCAATATCTATGAATTTTTTTTGTATATTAAGAGAAAATGAAATAAACTATTGATGTTTGTAAGATAAAGAATATTCTTCCTAATGATGTATTGAAAGTTAGACTTAACTCTTTGTTTTCATACGAAAATATTGTTTTAATTATTTTCTATTACTGGTTTCAAATGTTGTTTTTCTTTTTTTTTCATTTAAGAAGTTGAAAATTTTTCTAAAATATAATTTATATAACTCAAAATAATTAAAAAATACAGATTTAATAAATAGAAAAAAAAAATTCGTTTTTGAGTTATTTTGGTTTTGGACATCGACTGTTTCACTGATTTGTTATGGAAAATTTGCATCATAAAAATATTTACTTCATACCTTATTATTTCTAACGAAATTTTATTTCGTTAGCTTCGAAGTCAACAGTATGATCTATCAGTGTTTGATACTTTTTCAAGGATTTTTGAGTTACATGTGAAATTTGATGTTATTTTTTTTAGTTGACTCAATAACATTTTCTATCATTATAAGAGTTTATTTATAAATCATAAAGTAAGCATATTCAACAATCATCGTTCTTTTAAATCTAAGTATGTTTGTAATTAGCATGTATTTATTTGAAAAAAATTCGATCTCTTTTCATATTAATTTTCGCTAAAAAACTAAAAGAAGAATATACTTGGATTTTTAGATAATATTATTAATTACAATTATAGTAATTAGATAAATAATCAAATCATTCAAAAGCAATAAACCAATGCTACTTGTTCATGATCTAATTGTAGCATATTATTAAAAACTATACATTTAATATTTCCAATAGTCGTATTTTATTTCTCACACACAAAGAAAAAAAAAAAGAACGTGCTCGACAAAAAGAAAGAAACACATTCGCGATAGACAAAAAAAACATTAGCCATTTAAAAGGATGATTTTAATTTTGCGAATACAAAGTGATATCATTATTATTATTATTAAAAAAATTTTGATGATGATGATGGCTTCAATGAAATTATTATTACGAATATATTTTTTTGTTTTTTTAATCGGCACTTGTTCATTAAATAAAAAATAGATGTGTGTGTTGTGTGTGTCTCTGTGTGATAAATAAAAAAAAAGAAGATGAAAAAAAAAAGAAGAAAAAATCATGGTGTTTTTTAAAGAATGAAATTTGTGCGAATTTTCGAGAAAAATGTTTTCATAGAGTTTGAAAGAATAAAAATAATCATAAAAACGAATAACAGCGACGATGCTTTGACGATTCAAAATAAAACATAAAAATCGAAGATGATGAAAATTATTGTTTATAATGATCGACGCAGTTTTTGATAACCAGCAAAGCATAAAGCAGCTAGCAAGACGACCATATTTACGTAATGAACAGATGTACCATTACCAGCATCTCTCAATGCCCGATAAACCCATCCTGAAAAATTCGAGGCAAAAAAGAAAACAACGTAAAATTTGTTTCAAATAAATCTTAGAAATCTTTACCCAGATAAGCAACTACTGCAATAAATGTTGCGAATAAACCAAGTAGGCCGAGTGTTGCTAAACAGAGTAAACACAAAAGTAGACCAGCTAAACCTCCCAATAGGCCCATAAGACCACCACGTCGTGGTGGAGGTGGTCTATAAATAATTACATGTTCATATTAACTCTTGATTCATATGTGTATCATAAAAAGCACTTACCGAGGTGGATATATACCGGGTCGCGGGATATATCGCATACCCGAATGTCGGACAGGTACTCGAATTCGTGGCATTTTAAGAGCTCACTAGAAATAAAAAAAACTTATAAAATTTTATCGATATTAAATGGAAAATAGTAAAAATCTTTCTCAAGGACACGCCACAATGATCCCTATGTCTACCTAAATTAGACAGGGTTGTTGTTGTTGTTGTCTTTTCGACTACCACTACCAGCCTGACGATGCAAGAGCTCTCTTACTCACACGAAAACGGGAAGAGAAAAAAAAGAGAAAGAAAGAGGGATGAATAGGGGACTTTTCTGATCAACACAAACATACATACGTGATGATGATTGCAACAACAAGAGAGAGAGAGAGAGAGAAAGAGAGGGTTGGAGTCCAATAAAAAAAATATAGTTGGCCAGCCAATACAAAAAAAGAAATCACAACATTCTTGGTATAGCTACAAGTGATGAGATATACCCTTGAAGGTTGTAGAGAGAAAGAGAGACAGAAAAGGAGGGGGGACGAAAAATCGTTTCTTCTCTTTTTCTCTCTAGAATATCACCTATGTTTGTCATACTCGTCCATTTATGGGTATTATGCGAAGCGAAAAAAAAAAATCAGAAGGAACGATGCACAACGAAATGTAAAAGAAAGACAGGTGATCAATCAACCGAAACACTCCTGACTGACTATACACGAGTATACTAATGATTTTCTTCTCCATTGCGAGTCGATGCCTATACGTGATGAGACCAAAACATGTTGTCGACACATTATGTTCTGGCTTATATTCGCTTTTTTTTCTCTTGCTTACTACTAATTCCTTTCTCTCGTCAGATAGTCTATGTGTAGCTCATCACTAATTACAATGTTTTACTATCATCTATCGAAATATAAGATATTCTCAGGAAATGACTCTTTTTTTTTATTTCGTATAGTGAATGTAAGTGGTAGGGAAAAAAAGTAAAGGACGAGCATTTTCTCTCTTTTTTTTCTGATGACGATTTGTGTCTATAGCTCAGGTGCAAATCAGCGACGGCAACTGTGAAATCATGCGTAGCACAGCCAAGTAGGAAGAGAGAAGTGAAGAAGCAATATAATATACGTTTAGCAAAAAAGGTGGGTAGCTTGATCATGGCGTCGACGAAAGTCGTACGCATCAAAGTCATGGTTATATGTAGTGTCTTTTTCTCCACTAATAGAAGAGTAAAAAAAAAAAAGGAGATAGATAGATAGATAGAAACAGTGAGAAGAAAAAAAAAACAAAAACTAGGATCCCCGACAAGACAATGTGATGACAACGTTCGAAATATTGAGTTATGAGAGGGGGCGAATGATCAGGAGAAAAGTATAATGATAGACACACAGAGAGAGAGAGAGAGAGAGAAAGAGGGAGAAAGTAAAGAAAAATTCGTAGCTTGTTGTTTTGTGGTATCTCACTTTTTAGCGTACTGCAAACAAGCCGTTAGGGTTTCAGGCAAGAGAAGACTATCGTGCAGGTAACTAAAAAAAGAAGAAAAAAAGAAGAGAGAACAGAAGAGAGAAAGATATGCTGATTGAAGAAAGTTATAGTTGAACACGTGTGAACAGTTGTTGTCCAGACAACCTTGGATATATATCTTTTCTGTTTTAGATCATTATAGGCTGAGATGTCTTACGTCCCTCGACGACCAGTCCATATACGGTAAGAGTTTTCGTTTATTCTTAAATACATATCCATAAATTTTTTTTTTCTATATTTTACAAGGGTTCCTAAAGCACGGTCATATGGTGTAAGACCAATACGTCCTCTTCCTCCTCCCATGCCACCTCGTGGAGCTGGAGCTGGAGCTGCTGCACTTGGTGGTGCTCTTGGAGCCCTTGGTGGAACTCTTGGTTGCCTGCTCTGTTTATCAGCTATTGCTGCACTGGGCCTATTTTCATGTGTAGTAGCTATAACAGCATATGCTTGTAAGTTTGTTTGTTTTTTTTTTAAATTTGTCAATCAATCATTGATAATAAATCGATTTTATTTAGATCAATTTCTTAGAAGTTACAGGCAAGTCGAAGGAATTGATGGAGCGGCTGGTCAAATTCAAATTGCTTTTATGCTATTATTAGCTTCACTTTTTTATACAATCGTCTGTCGTATGCAGCGATGTTAGATTGAAAAACAATTGATTAAAATTTTTTCTTCAAATTTTCTTTCTTCTAATTATTTGAACAATATCAGTCTTTTTTTCTCTTTTGGTCTATTTGAAACACATGTACCTGTTCAGAAAAAAAAATGAAAACATTCTTTTTTTGCATGACACAACAATGACGACGACGATGTTTAACTGACGACGATAACTAAACACACTATTTCTTTTTATTCTTTTTTTTTTTTAAACACCACTATATTTTCTTTTCCATTTTTTTTTTTTTGAATAAAAAATTTATCTATTCTTGTGCGTGCATATCAATGTTTTTCCTTGTTTATCTGAATAAATTCGTTTACTTTCTCATTGATTCATTTTCATAATATCGAAAAATTATTCAATGTCATTCGAACGATTCTATATTTCTCTTTTTCATTATTCGACAAATATGTATATATGTGTGGCAAGCCAAAAAAAAAAAAGAAACTATGTATACAATATTAAAAACTATTCAGGTGTGACTACCTATATACAACAAGCAATTCGATAAGCATATATGTATGTACGAAGGCTGCATCTTTTTTTTTTGTGTACCATGTTATTTGTATATACAAAAAAAAAAGACGAATGTGTTTACCTTCAATAAGTTTATTTAGTAATTGAGAGAGAAAAAATAAATGTATACGAAAAAAAGAAAAGAGGAAAAAGTTGTTATTATTAAATGTATGTCCATTCCTTTATATTGAACAGAACAAAATATCAGTTGTAAATTATTGTTGTTCATGGACATCATACAAGACAAAAAATTTTTTTTTTTTTTATTTTTCGAACAAACGAAAAATGAATTTCATATGCATTACTAATTAATTTAATTAAAATTAGTTTTATATTGATTTATAAGAAAAAATCGTTTCATTTAGACAAAGTATTTCATTGATTATCATTGAATATAGAACTTGAATAAGTATTTTTAGGGTGTGGGTGTGGGTGTTAATTATCATAAGATAATTCTTTTTTATTTTGATAATATACATAAGAAAATAAATTCTATTCTTATTATTCAATTCTACAATAATATAAGTAATTATTTACAAAGTAATGTTTTCAATTGATCAATTACTTTTTACTTTAATGATATATGGAAAATCTCAAAAGAATAAATTCTCATAGTCCTTCCGTCCAAAATAATAGGTGTTTTTTTTTTTGCTAGAATTTCGCCTCTGACTTGATATACACAAGCAAATTGAATGATGATAGTTCTATCTCAGGTTCTTTTTCACAAACAGATCTATTTATTAGTAGAATGTTCAGCAATTTTCAGCTCAAAATTCGAAATTTAAATATCTCAAAAAAGAAATACTCTTTTGAACTCAAAATTTCAGAATGCTCGATCAATAAATTGATTTATCTATGAATAAAACCTCAGATAAAAATATTGTTACTCAAATATATATCAAGACAGAGACTAAATTTTACTAAAACCTCTATTACTTTCTATAGAAGACCTAAAGGTACTTTATGTTTATACAAAGAATCCGAATCTAAAATGATTGATCAATTTGAAAAAAACGTTCCCTCGTCAATAGATATGGATAATTGGATGACATACTGTATTTCGTATTAATTAAAAAGACAAAGTATTTTGTACTACTTTAATTATCGTTGAAATATTTTGTATTATTGAGTCTTATTATTTGTTGGTAAATATAAATTAAAAAAAAAGAACATCGAAACACCTAAATGTTATTCAAATATTCTACATTTTTTAACTTGATCATATGCTGAATTTTCAATTATTTTGAATAGTATTAAGATGAAAACAATAAAATAGTTAGAAGTAACGAATATTTTAATAGAACTAACGAATGATGTACATATAAAAGAAAAAAAAACATTATTTATTACCTTTGAAATTTGATATTAGTCAGAAAAAATTTAGATACATGATAAATTGCACAGACTACAATCATAGTTATAATCGATAGGATTTTCTCTGATCAATATCAATCTATCAATTTCTTTTCGTAAGAAAAAAATAATACTACTTCTAAAGGATCCAAATTCATTTTTCATTGAGACTATTAACATTTTTTTTTTGCGTACATTTATTTTATTACTTCTCTTTATTTCTGCTTTCTATTTTCTCACAAATATCGAGAAAACAAAAAAATAAACAACACAGATTTTTGATTCATACAAAAGAATATGAATTTCAAATGTACATATCTACATTTATAAAAAGTTGAAAGTCTTTAATTGAAATAGAATTCTATGAAGCAGGAACAATAATGTTCAGAATGTTTTTAATAATTGACAATAATCATTTTTTCATTGTTCTATTTGCTACATGGAGCTATAATTCTAATTATCTATTACGTATATCGATGTAGATATATTGATGCTATATAAAACAAATAATGTCTTATCTTTCATTTTTATATCACTTGACATAATTAGTTATGAATCTACGAAAATATTTACTATACGTATTCTAATTATTTATTTTTTTTTTAATTATTGATAATTGTACTTTTCGTTTACTATTTGGAAATTATTATATATTATATTGTCCCTTGTTAACGAGAGATGTCGAAAGAAACAAAAGTAATGGATTGTTCTCTACTGAAATATAATTGAACTTCGATAGATTTATTTTTGTCTATAAAAAAAAAAAAAAAAAACTTATTTTTAATAATATCTATATCTGAAATTATTGCTTTGATGTGTAATATGTTTACATATTATGATTTTGTTTTGTTATGAAAACCTATAAAAATGATGATATAATATTTTCTTTAATCCTTAAAAGTCCAAGGAAATTTTTCTTGCAACAGAAGGAAGACAACCATAAAAATAGAGCTGATGGACCCTCAATACATTCATACTATAGCTAAAACGAAGTACTTTGTTCTTCTTCTTGAGTTATATAACGTCCCTTAGCAGAAATCTTGGACCTTTCACAAATCTGAAAGAAAGAAATTTCTATCTGAAATTTCGCCCTTAATCAGTTTATATGATCCTTAAATTTTTATTCAAAATGGATACTTTATTGTTGAGATATTGGACGCAGAAAAAAATCGGCAAAATTTTGCAAAAAAAACTCCTAAAATCCAGTTTCTCTTCAACATGCCGTATTTACAAGAGTAAACAACAGTTGTTGTTGAAAATTTCAGGGTAATCTAAACAGCTATTGATAAGCAAAATTTCAAGACAAACTCTCTTTGTTTCGATTTTTTCTTGAGGCAGAATATTCCATAGAACGAACATTTTCTTTATGATAATGTCCTGCGTTAGTGGAAGGGTTTATAATTTACGAGATGATTTCATCAGACACCTTAACACTATGTTTAACAATATCACTCTAAAAAAACTACAGTCGCACGTCGCCGCTTATAGGAATCAAAAAAAAAACTTCGGAAAAGAAAAGTAATACTAAAAAAAATTACGAATCATAAAAAATTCATTGTTCGGCTTAGGAGTCACTTGAGAATTATATTTTCATCTCTGTATGATTACTAAGGTCATATCAGTTCAGAAAAATGTTGGTTTTTTGCATATAAACTCTTGTAGTAGAATTTATTGAAATTATTCCAATGTTCGTTGGAAGAAACATTATGCTCTTAAGGATTAACATTATGATGACCTCAGTGTTGAATTAATCTTGATTTTACAATGCACAAAATAATGAACATTCAAATGAATTTTCTTTGGTAAGTAGTTATAGTTACTCAAATTTCTAGGTTAACACATAAGTAAAAACAGATCTTCCTATCCTTATTCTAAAAGACAGGAAAGAATAACCCTAGATATTTCTGCTGATTGAATTCTCTTTTGGTTGATTTCATTCTTGAGTTTTAGTCACTTTGTTTTTCAATTGCAAATATACAATTATTATATATATCTAAAAATCATATAAAGCTAAAGTCTAATTATTTTTGTAGATGTGTTGGATCATTGTGAGTTCTATGATGGATATGATATCATATATCAACTAAGCATTTCAGACATTGTTCAAAATACATCGGACTCAACCTACAAAACAAAACTAACCAGTTTTCAAAGTAATGTCAAATCAGTTTGAATTGGTGAAAAGTTCGATAGATAAAAAGTGTTAACTTAACCATTTTACCAACTTGAGTATTATCAACAATGAAGATGTATACTGTCGTTTAGAAGATCTTAATTTGAATATTTTCTATATAATATTAGAAAATGAATAGAATCTATCGGAATTCATAAACTAGGAAATCTAATGAATTTTGATCTACTTTCATTAAAGTCATATTTCATATTCAAATGAATTAATTCAAATTTTATTATTTTTCTTTTTACAACAACAGCAACAAAATAATGATAATAGAAGTTTGTTTTGAACTTGTTGTTTACTTTAATTCCTGGCAGTATGATAACTCCTTAGTTCAAGCTCAGTATCGATTTCAGATTGATCAGTCCGGTCCGGTCTGGCTTATTCGAATCGGTACCGATATCTGTCGTGAAAAACTTAGATTAGTTCCATTGCTGATCAACTTGGTTTACTTCGGTTTCTCACATTGTTGATCATTTCCTTTTATTATGTTTTATATTTAATTTCATCTAAATGAGATTCAATCAAGCTATTTTTTTATATAGAGTAATGTGAATTTCAAAGTAGTGTCTTGTTTGAGTACGACATTTCATAGTTAACGAATACGCATACACAGAAAAGAAAATCCTATGACTAAAATATGATTTTATATGAGATTTGTCTGTATATTAGATTTCTTTCAGAAAAGGCTTGTTGTTTTTTTTTATCAACAATTCACAAATAAACCATTAAGCGAATTATGTGTTCACAACCGAACCTAAACCAGAGATAACCTACATTCGGTAGATATTTTTCAAACTTTTATTTTATATGTAAAAGTGTACTATTTAGTTTTTTTCTATAAGTAGTAACGAAAAACAAAAGATAATCATCACAATAATAAATGTTCACCTTTTTTTTTTTCATAATTCATTTTTATTCAAAAAGAGAAATGCATGGCTCTCTAGAACTGTCTATATTTGTAATACACTGAAAAGATGTTTGCTCGAAAAACAAAGAATATCATGAGACTATTCACTCACTATCACGATGAGTTATCCATCTATTTTGAAAAAAAAAGCATGATTAACTAATGTATTCTTATCAATAATTCACTTGCTATTCTTATACAAAAAAAAACCATGGAATTACAAAATAATGTTGCATGGACATGCTTAAAATTCTCACATACAAGAACGTAGGAATATTATTGTAAAAAACTTGAATATTAATACATGTGTAATATCGTATATGCATGCAGTTAAAAGCTAGAAACCTTCAAAAAAAGATACATTTGTAACAAACATACAAGAATTTTTTTTTTCAAATATAAGATTCTAACTTAAATCTTCTTGACTACTTGACAATGTATTTCGATTAGAACTCTATTCAAAACTGTCAATATCTGATCATTTCAGTTGCATTTGATCTAAATTATTCGTCAAGGAACATAAACAATGTCATATTGAAGAGGACACAAAATTATTGTATGTCTAACTCTTAGATAATCTTTTTTGTACTAATACCAAGACTTGACAAATTTATCGTCATTTTACAAATGACATTTTCATTACATATGAGCGCCGACAAGAATAAGAGTTGCATTTGTATATTGACAGGTATTAATAGAACAAATTGGCGAATGGGTTAAGTCTTTATCAAATATTCATGTTTCGATCCGGTGTTTTTTTTTATATATTTAGTTGACGATGACAAAAATCAAATAAATAGTAAAAACATAGACCGCGTAAACTTTTTTTTTACTACGATTAATTAGTTTCGTCTCTCATTGCATGAGTACGTACTTGAAAATAAGAAAGACTGGCTACTATGAGACGAAAACTTTCGAAAAAATTAATGATAATCAAAACAAAGAAATAATCAAGTTTAATACTTATAAAATCATTAGATAACTTGTTCATTATCGCTATCGTCACATGAATGATTTCTATAGAGTACATGATCATGACTTATTTTCTTTTTTTTTTTTAATAGAAATATTAATTTTTTGTATTCAATAAAAACATATGAGAGGAACCTTACGTTTAACTTTTGTCGAACAAATTTTTTCTTTTAAAAATTAACAAATATCACACCATTCGATATAGTCTTCCCACAGAGAAATTCTTCCAAAAAAAACCGCGGTAATCTGAGGTTAACCGCGATTTTGTAAGGTCGGACCGCGGTTTTCGCCGGCTTCAAAAACCGCATAAACGGTCTGACTTTCGCGGTTTATGAAACTGCGGTTTTTTCTTGAAAAATTTTTCCGTGGATTTCGTTCGGATTCCAAATATGTTTGTATTTTTTTTTCTCTTAAAATACTTCTGAAACTAAATTTGTAAACAACTGAATTAAGTTTGAGTCTTTAGATTGTCAATTTCTGATATATTAACAGGATTATTTTGTAATCCAGCTTGATGTAGATAAGAAGTACATGATATCATTTGTCGTGTTAATGATGAATGACATTCTGAACATATGAATACATAATAACCAATCATATTAGACAATAGTTTTATTCGATGATCTTCATCTAATTTCAAAAGTAAATCAGCTAATGTTTCAATATATTCAGATATATAGTTAATATCAAATAAATTTCGTTGAGAAATTTCTTCATCATTTAAAAGAATACGTGATGATACTTTTGAATTCTCTAATTCAACTTGAATAAGTTTATAATTGACTCCTGTAATTGCACCAATTTTTTTCATAGGATTATGTCCTGAACATTGTTCATTCATATTTTTCAATAAGGTTGTACATAATAAAACATTATTAATATTGACATATTGTTTTCGATTAAAATTCGGACAAATCGGTATTTGTACGATCCATTCATATGCTGCATAAACAATTGAAAAAGCGACACCTGCACCTAACAGATATCCAAGATTTTTAATAGAGCGACGTATACTGTGGCTGGGTGTTGATTTTGTACTGGTAGAAAATGGATAACAAACAAGGATATCATGAACAATATTTTGTTGAACTTTTCCTCCAATTCCATATTTCAAAGTATTGAACGAAAAATATCGAAACATTATTGCTTATTTGACAAATATCTATGAAAAAAAAAAATAATCAATATTAAATGTCACATTTGATACATACAAAAATATAATCATCTATTCGAAATCAATAAAATTGATTTCATAAATGATTGAACTTTCTTCTGATTCAAAAGAATAATACAAATATATTACTCAGTTAATCGAATTGCTCATTGCAAGCACAACAAATAATATTACAGTGAACAAATTGTTAATTGAAGAAAAAAAAACATGATTCAACGTCAGTTTTTCTTACTCATTTTCTATTAATCATTGCTTTTATCGCATTGTTTGTTTTGATTGGTGATGGTTAACCTTGAAACGATGGGCATGGAAAGAAAGAAAGGTCGAAACTTATCTTTGTATTTTATCCTCTCTACGATAATTATTTCTTATAGATGGCATCAACACTTATCATAAATATTGAAAGAACATATCATAATATAGGATATCTAGTGAGACAAAATTTTCATAGAAAATTTAACGAAGGATAAAAGTTACAGAAAAACTAGTTGAGTGAATCTTATATTTCATTCTTAGTTTAAAGATCTAGTTAGTTGTTTTGTTGAGAACACATAGCTTTTTTTTTTGTATCTCAACAGAAGATGACATATTCTATCGAATTCTATTCTTCTTTATTTAAATTCAAATAAAATACTTTCTTCATTGATATCAATCGAAACTTTACATGTTAATATATAAACAATTCATCATCATTATTTCACATCGACTTCGAAATTCATTCAATAAATTGTGAAAAGCATTATTAATATTGGTAATGATTGATGTTTAGATGATTGCTTGAGTTCGATAGTGTTCACATGACCATTTCATTTTACAACATACAAGAAAGCTTCCATCGAATTAAATTAGAATCATAATTATTCTTATATTCTATATTCGTTTCAATTTTGAAAATAGTTATATTTCGATAACGAACATTAAAATAAATTTTTTGTTGATAAATATTATTGAATAAATTGATTCTTGTTTTGACTAAGAAAATATGTTAATATAAATTTTGTGATATTTTGAATCTTTGACGAAATTTTGAGTTACAAATATGATATGATACTTATTGATAGCATTTTCATTGATATTAATAAAATACATGTATCTTTAATGTGTAGTACAATTGAATTTTTTAATAGAATGAAAATGAAAATAACAAGCAGATACTTCTTTGAATTACAGTAACCAGCTGTTGTAATTTATTTGTTATCATTTCAATATTGATGATCATTAGTTAATTATTTTTATTGAAAACAATCGTTTGAAATTGTTCTACTTACTACAAATTTTAGTTTCTCATGTATATTTAAAAAAAATATGATTATATAGTGGGAAATGTATGATTAAGTTTTCAATACAAATATAATTGTAGCTCGACCTAAAAGGCAAATATTGCATGTTAAGACTTACAAGTAATACGATCAGAGTGGAGTCATTAGAATTTTTATGCAACTGATTAATCAATAGAAAGAGTTGGAAATGTTTTTTAATGCTCATGGTAATTTCACAAGATGTTTACAAACCAATAAACGCACATTAGTGTGCCATTTACTATTGTGTAGAAACGCCTTTCTTTCGATACATATTTAAATGCGCTTATCACAGTCAATAGTTATCAATCGATTTTTTTCTATTACTTCTGTATCGTCACTGCACGGGGTGGTGTACATGGTTCATATTTTTTTCTATGCGAATGCCATTGTTTAAGAAAGTGATAATATGTGACCCAGAGATGTCCATCGCGGCTGGAAATGTGCCGCTGCCGCTCTGCGATGAGTTTAGAAACTTCAAATCTTACCCCTACCGCACCCCAATGTTTCGACAACTGAAGGTCACCGCGCCGCACCACAAACTGACTTGACCGCTTTTCATTCGATATATCGTTAATCTATATTACCTATACTTATTCATGTTTCCATCGGTTATTTTACAATAAAAAACGTCACGAAATGTGCTGAAATTTAAGGATCGAATAGAAAATTGGATTGAATTTTCATTCATACTAACGGATGCGGCAGAATAAATAGCACCCTATTGTATTTTATTTTTTTTATCATATAGTGTGCTGTATTAGAAAATAAAATATACCACAAGATGCAGCGCGAAAAGCTCTACAATTTACATAAGATCATTTATTTTATAGTTTTTCAATTTTTGTTTTCAAAGTGAACAAAGTGTTGAGTGACCAAATATCGACACTGCTCAAAGATCACTTTTTTCCATGGGAACAAGACAATTCTTTTTTATTTCGTCTCTTTATCAACTAATATATTTTCGTAGAAAAACACAAAACGTACCACAAGATGCAACATCAAAAACTTCACAATCTACAAAGGAAAACTCACTTTAATTGTGTCATTTTCGCTTTCAAAAACAAGCAAAATTCTGTGCGCCCAATATTCGACACTGAGAAAAAAATCATTCTTTCGACACGAATGAGAAATTCCTATTTTCTTATTTAAAGATATTGTTCTTTGTAAATTGTAGAACTTTTCACGCTGCATCTTGTGGTATATTTTATTTTTTAATACAGCACACTATATGATAAAAAAAATAAAATACAAAAGGCGGCAATTTATTCTCCCGCACCCGTTAGAATTGAAAATAATTCATTTACACATTTAAAACCTTTACACCTAATAATGCTTCAAATATTTTCGTGTGTATAGTTACTTATGAATATAAATTATAAATGTGCTACAATATGAATTCTTGAAAATCTAGTAACGTGCTCCAACATAAAGTCATCATGTAATTACATGATGCTAACCTTTATATTTCTATTAGCCGATTAAAGTATAATGAAAATGTAATGATTGAGAAAGAAACAAATTGGTTTGCTTTGAATCATAGTAAAATAGTCTACTCAAGTATTAGATTTTCTCGGAAAAAAATCGAAATTTCAACCGCTGCCGCGTCGCACCGCGACGGTAAAAACACAAAAGTTGCCGCTGCCGCGACGCACCGCGATGGCAAAACCACAAACGTTGCCGCTGCCGCAATGCACCACGATGGTAAAACCACAAAAGTTGCCGTTGCCGCGCCGCTAACGCTATGGCGGCAGCGGTGCGGCAGCAGTAGCGGCTGCCGTAGCACCACCATGGACATCTCTGATGTGACCTTTCTGAAAAATACGAAGTGAAGCAGCGCTGACTGCTGACACTTGAATCTATTTGTCAAGATGAGAAGATTTACGAGTGTGATCCTGCAAAAATACAGTTATTTTCCAGAAGATGATCTATGGTTCAAATTACTCGACAAGATGAAAATATATCCACAAGTATCGGACTATATTCAAAATTCTTCCGTCATGATCGATGACGATCTCAACAATATTCCACAGTATATTCTCACATAAGAACTTACTGATGAATGTGCCTCATTCAATCATTCATGTCAACCCAAGTGTGTATATGAAAACTTCGAAAATGAAGATAGTCTAATGTCACAGGTACTCAATGCATGTGTGATATTAGTACTTGTGCAGATCAACTTCGATTTGATTTTTGGTACAATGATGAATGTCAACGCAAAATTTGAAAATGTGGCGAGTTCATTCATTCAGAAAAAGATTCAAGAATTGCACACAATAGTATTCAACCAAAGTAGTTCTGATTAATAGATGATATTCAATGACAAAAAAGGATATATTACTAGTTTATTCTTGCAAATAAAAAAATATCGATAGTTGATAAACGCTATAATCCAAGAATGTTCATGTTTGCCTATAAAAAGAAAATCAAAGTAGATGATATGCAAAAGAATAGCTGTTTTATTTCTAACTAAAATTTTTCTAATTCGACAAGAAATCGATTTGAAACTGTCTTTTCTATTTATTCTTAACATATATGAATATGATACTGATTATGATATCACAAAATTGGTTTGACCAAGAATATGACTTTGAAATTGATGTGAGAAAAACTACTTTATATTCTATAGCATTCTACCGATATTTTTACAATTGATCAAAATAAAATTTTTGCTAGGTTTCATTTCAACAACGAATAAATTTATATCTCACATTTTCACTATAATATTGACATTATAAATGTTCAATGTATATTTATTAGTTGTAAGACATAAAATGACGTGATTTCTATCGTCTTTCAATTATTATATTTTAAAAAGGTAAATTAATACACACTTTTCTCTCTACGATAGTACAAACAAAAAAAAGAAATACACTTATGATTAGCAAAAGATAACGATGTTTAAACATAATAAATTTCATTTTCTTTTCTCTACTTCATTTTCACAATGGTCCTCCGTTAGATTCTAAATGTAGGATGAATATGACATATTATGCGTCAAAAACCAAAAAAAAAAAAACAAAGTCTGATTTGTTAAACAAAAAAAAAGAAACACATTCAATTAATATAAAATGATTATATTTAGAGACAAATAAAAATAAACTAATGTACTTTATTCAGAGTATATATTAAATTTATCTTCCTAATATTATCTTTTGAGTTGTATGATAAGCAATAAAAATGAGAATAAGAATAATGATAACAACAATTACAATAATACACACAATAATTTTTTTCTAAAAACAAACTATATTAATAAATTATGATTTAGATAGAAATACTTACATTACTAGTGCTTTCTTTAATCTTTGTTGTTTTCGCAATGTTTATTACTGCTTTTTCAGTATGATCAGCTGAGTTCAATACATACTGTTGGATATTATCAATCATTTTACCCTTTAGAAAAAAAAAAAATAATCACATATATAGACAATAAGAGAAAGGCACATACTTGAGTTGAAATAAGTTCAGTGAAATCAACAAACATATCATGTAATTCTACAATAGTACTTTCAAGCCTCTGTATATCATGATAACGTTCTTCGATAAAAATGGCTTGTTGTCTAATTTCTTCTTTATCAACTATAACCTGAATACATTCAGAATTTAAAATAAAGACAAAACTAAACAAATATCTTACGGGAATAATATCTTCTCCTTGCATTCTTTTTACAACTATTTCATCTCGTTCACTTTGAGTTGTTCGCCTGCCAGCTATTAAAAAACAAATGTATGAAAATTAAAAAAGAATTGTTTTTTTTTTCTATCTTGATTCTGTTCTTTTTCTTATCCCAACATTAATTTTGTCATTGTATATAGAAGATCTTCGAATGGATTGAACTGAATCAATGGAAACCTATCCGATTCGTGATTTAACCTTCCACAAGTTTTCTGGGTAGTTCAAACATGAAAATCAATGTCCATTGGATAGAAAATTTTCGAAAACATCTTTATACTTAATCATGATCAAAACGATTTGAAAAAAGAAAATCTTTTGTCTTGTTACACTATTTCAGTCATAATTTTATATAATTACATATATGATATCTCCAGATCAATTACTATCGAGACCTAAACATTCATTTTATTGGTTAGACATAAAAAAGTCCAATAATTTCACTTCATATGAAAGAACCTTTTCCATGTATGTAAGAAGACCTGATTATATCAGCTCCTGTTCAAACTATCAAGAATTAAATGATCAAATACAGTTTGACATACAGAAAGGGAACAAAAATTTCTATCGACATATAAAATTAAGCATAGCTAAAATAGTTTCACTGTATGAATGATTATAGTTAAAATTAGAATTAGTTTGAATCATTACTGAAGATGAAGAACAAAAGAGAGGATGTATTGAATCGAGCAAAATATACGTTATTAGAATTTGTTCTGTATAAATGATACAAAATTTACTTAGGGTGATTCAAAAGTAGTGACGGAGGTACTTATTTGTCTTATAGAAAGTTTAAAAAGAGTTTCTTTTTTTTATGAATAGATAGAGCGTCGTTCGCTCTATTTTTCTATGCCATTTGATCGCTATGCAACTAATATTATGATAGTAAAATTTCGATAAGAACCGTTTTTGTCCAAAACTCGCTGGTAGTATTTGGATACCGCTAATTTTATAGTTCCACTTTTTGTTTTCAAAATCGACAATATTCAGAGGAACCCAATTTTGACATTGCGAAAACAAGACTGGTTTTTGACAAAAGAAGAATTTGATTTTTTTCTATCTCATTGTTTTACAAATTGTTCTTTGTAGATTGTAGTGTATTTTGTTTTTTAAAATAAAACATATTAGGTAATGAAAAGATGAGATAGGAAAAATTGAATTCGTTTTTTTGCCAAAAAACAATTTTGCTTTTGCAACGACAAAATTTGATTGCTCAGAGTTTTGTTGATTTTGAAAACAAAAAGTAGAACCATAAAATTAGCGGTTCTTCGTAAACTGTAGAGCTTTTCATGCCGCATCTTTTGATAATGTTTCGTTTTTTTAGTACAACGCATTAAGTGATACTAAAGTGGGTTGCAAAAGTGCCACAGTCATTATAATCTAATGTTACCAGCGAGTTTCGGACAAAAACAGTTCTTATCGACATTTCACTATCATAATATTAGTTGCATAGCGATCAAATGGCATAGAAAAATAGAGCGAACGACGTTCTATCTGTTCATAAAAAAAGAAACTCTTTTTTAAGCTTTCTATAAGAAAAATAAGTACCTCCGTCACTACTTTTGGATTATCCTAAGTATTTCTTTTCATTGACACTCTTCTTTGTAATATAAATTTGTCTTCCATTTTCATGAAACATAAATCAATTTTTATTCGAAAACAGTTTATCAATGAAATCAAACCTATGAACAGAAGCTCATAGTCAATGAGCATTCATCATAAAAAAACATACCAGTTTAGTCTATTTTGAAGGCTAGTATGTATATAATTTTAAGAGAAACACTATTCAGTGATAAATAATAAAAATTTCTCAATACTTACTAATCCGTAATTCACGCAACACAGCTTTTTCACATTTGTCTCGATGTTTACAATATTCTTGATAATATTGGTTCATAATTTCATAAAACTCCTCAGTTTTCTTTAGTATTTGAACTGTTCGTATTCGCCATTGAGCACTTTCTTGGGTTTCATTTTGAAATTGATACTCCTGTTTCAGTTCTAATTAAAATAGAAATAAATATTTTTTTTTCTCTATAAGATATTGAAAATGCTCAATTCGAGTGGATTTTACTTTTAATTCATTCATTCATGATGATTTGATTGAGTTCAGTAAAATAGTTATGAATGTATCATTAGCTTATACTCGCTCGTTAGTAAAAACTCATAAAATTCTCTAGTTTTTAATGATCTAGAGATCCTTTGAATGCACTTTATTTTCATTTAATATCAACAACCAATTAGAAAATTATGATTTGCTTAAATTTTAAGATTGTTAAAGTATAAAATATTAATACGAAATAGCTTATTATAAGAAGACTGTGTTTATTGACGTTTTAATCAATCGATTTAGTATATTTTCAAGAAAAAAAAAAACAAGACCGAATGTTTGATATCATTAGAATCAGGAGATCTTGAACTAAAAAAGTAATATTTTAATTTATTTTTCTTTTGTTGAAAAAATTGAATATTTTAAAAAATGCATGAAAATGAAATAATAAAATAGAAAAGATCATTTACTTGTTCGAAGGGTGGACGTGTCGATACAAATCTTCTTTTCATTAATACTTATACTTTGAAAATTTACAATTAGTAAAAATGTTGATATGTACCTAACTAAGTGGTAATAGAATGAGAGAACATGTTAGAAAATTCGAATTATTATTCTATTCAGAATTTTACTTTTTTTTTCGACATTTCGAAATTTTTATTTTCAGGATTTTCTTCGTTTGCAGTTTTATCTTCAAATTACATAAATACGAAAAAAACTGGTTTTCAATTGAAAATCAAGAGGTGAAGCTTGTAGATAGAAAAATTCCTAGGAGAACTAAAATTATGTTTTCAATGAAGAATAGGATTTGTCCAAATATATGTGATTTAATAGAGTTTTTCATATTGAGTCTGAATATATCGTTTATTTTCTGATTTTTAGTTAAGTTTTGATAATCAAAGTTACTAAATTTTTAAGATTATTGCTTTAACAAAAATGAGAAAATATTCAATTCTTTCAACAAACAAAACAAAATAAAGAACTTTTGTGAATTTTATGAGTTTTTATTAGCGAGCAAATAAGATAAATGACACATTCATAACTATCCCATTGAATTCTATCAAATTATGAATAAATAAATTAAAAATAAAATCAATTCCAATTTAACATTTTCAGTTGCTTACTTTGTAGTTCTGTTCTAATATCATCTCTTAATTTTTTTATTTCAGCATTTTTACCAACAAGTTTTTTTTCAAGTTCTACAAAAAAGGAATTTCTTTTTTGAAAAATTTTTTTTTTCTCATAGCTTTTAATATTTATACCAGGATCAGGTTCAGGTTGGCGCATTCGTTCGTAAATTTTTTTGACATCTCGTGTAAGTACTTTGATTTCATCAATACGTTCTCGAAGTGAATTTATCTAAAAGACAAAAAAAAAATATATATATACATTTTTTTTCTTTTAGAAAAACAAAAAGTTATACATACTCGATCTAAAAATTCAGACACCTTATGTTCTTTATCTATATCAATACTAGTAAGGGGAATGCCGCAATCATCGACAATATTTAGTGTATTATGGTTTTGAACCTAAAAGTTCAAAAATCGATTTCAATTGGTTTAAAACAAGAATTTTTTGATAAATAATATTTTTTATCTAATGTTTAAGCGTTTTTTTTTCAAGCGATTAGCATATTAATACTTGTGGAAGTTGTTGATAGGAAGCATCAGATTTAGGAATCTAAAAATACAAATAAAAAAAAAAAAAAAACATTGTTAAATAGATTAATATTGTTATATTAACTTACAGAGTTTTTTAAATCTTTCATTCGGTCTTTAGCCATTGATCAATAATTAATTTATCAATAATAATATTAATATAATTTTTTGTTTTGTATTTGAATTAATGAATACTATTGAAAAAAATTCTTTCGTATTTGATATTTTCTATAAAATTCTATTTATATGATGAATTTTTAATACTAAAATCACTTTTTCAAATTCACTGACGATTTAATTATTATTAAATCAATTCTTTCGCAATAACAGTAATCAATGATAGACTTGTGGTGTCCTCTGTATCATCATAACAAACCTAAATAGAAACGAACGGAGCGAAAACGTATTCAAAATAGACGAACGCAAGACGAAACGTGTTTGAAGCAATTCAAGCATGTTGTAAACAAGCAGAAGTAACTTGTCAACAACGACTATCTTCTAATGGTAAATGACCTTCAAGATGCACGTGTCTTTATGTTGTGTCAAATTTGTTTTGAATATTTTTTCGTTTCGATCTGAGTTTACTGATAATCTTGACAGAAGTTATTCACATGTCTGCGTTTAATTTTATGTCAAATTCAAATGAAAACCAATATTATTATAAATAATAATTGTCATATTCGTCATTGATTCTACTCTTTAGCTTAATCGATAATGATACTGCTATTAAAACATTTAGTTATAATTTCTTTATATTTAATTTTATATTCAATGTATCCTTATTTAATACTTTAATTCTCTATGTATCTATTACGAAATATGATCGAACTAATCATTCTATTCAATTTTAGTGTCGGAAAATAATTATAAGATATTTATTTGAACTGAGAATCATCTGAAATTTAAGCCAAATTGTAAATATCAATCCGAGTAAAAAATATTCATGCAAAAAAAAATCAATAGAGAACACAGTTATGAAGACATAGAAACTAATCTTGATTATGAATAACGCGTTCTACATTTTGGCAATTACATTTATAATCGACAGCATCCAAAAGAATGTATTCTTTGTTGTTCAATACTCTTATTATATGTTTTCTTTTTCATTGAAGTAGAACAGGTTGTTTGAAAAGGTCAAAATGGAATTTCATCATACTGAGATTGTTTCGTGTAATACACGCTGAATAATTATTTGAAAATGAATATTTCGAACGAATGAATATGTTTTAGACATTCTTCTACCTAGAGATTGAGAAAGAATATGAATTATCTCAGATTATATTTCTTAATGTTTTCCGATAAATTAATTTTTTTCTCATGTTATACTTCATTGAGCTTTTACTCGTTAATTCTCGTTTTGTAGCAAGATTTAATGCGTTGTAAAAACGTAGAATATTTTAGATCAGGATTCATAGAGTTCCTGTCATAACTTGCTGTGTAACGAGACTTGACTTCGTTTTGATGGAACTAGGTAGAATTGGACGAGCTCTGTAAACTTGTATTCTTTTCATGTAATTAGTGTATTTGTTTCTCATATGCTGATAGAAACAATGATCAGTTTTATTGATGTCATGAAGCGAGATATGAGTGATTTTAATATATTATGAGTCGATCTTAATGTATTATAAAAGCAGAGTAAATATTGGGAATTTTCATGCCAACTGAACTAATCGCGAAAGGAAGACTCATATTCGGATTTTTATTGATTGCACTTTTTTGAATGGTTTACGTTAACATTTATTCTTCTATTTACTAGTGAATTTGTATTTAGTCTGGTGACAAAATGTTAAAGTTTTGTTTAAAGAATGAGAAGAAATCAATTATGAAGCGAAATCATTCTAAAGAAAATAGTAGAAGCAATCACATTGCTTGGTAAAGGTAATCATAAATAGGATTGTTTACATAAGAATATTCTATTTTTCTGTCTAGAATATTTATTAGAAATTGAACAAAAATTAATGTATTTTGTTCATCCTGTTCGAGTTTTACTTCGATCTATCAATAAGACAGCTATGTCTAGTCGTTCAGAAAACTCTAGAAGGCTGACTTTTGCTCAATGAAAAGTATATATACTTGATAGTAGCTGGCATACATAATTAGTTAGTATATGCACGTAACTAATCTTTCACCTTGACGAGATTTACTTTCAAAAATCACGAATACTTAAAAAATCTTTCAGCGAATATTTCAAATACTTTGACTTCTTTCTATGAATTATATGTGAAGCATTTATGTAGGTGTGAACATGAGTTTTCAGTTCAACCACAACCTAATTTAGAGTGAAAACAAAGGTAATATGAATAGTAATATCTTGTAAATCTCTATTTTTATATAAAATGTTATTATTAAAAAAGACAAAAGAATAAAAATAAAGCGTTCTAGAATTTTATAATTATTAATAATTCTTTTCTTTGTTTTCCATTTAACATGGACATCCGCTTCGTTTTGTTGGTCGGTTATTTTCGGAAAGTGTAATAGATGTGGCCATATCCGATGTTGGATCAATATCTTTGCTACGTGCTAATGCATTATATGCAGCTGTTGCAAATGCTTTTTCAATATTGCTACCTTGTTTAGCTGATGTTTCAAAATAGGATACATTTGATATACCTAGAAGATACATATTACGAAAGATTTTACATTAATTTAACTTTTGCATACCTGAACACCAACTTTGTGCCTGACGTGTCTGAACCTAAATATATTAAATAAACAATAAAACAAACGAAATAAGTGTTTCAAACAAACCACACGATTACTAAGATCAACTTTATTACCAATAACCTAAACATATTCACAAGCACGAAAAATCTTTGTTAAAAAAAATCTACATACCACAAGTGGAAAATTTTCCGGATCATGAGGTGCAGCTTGCTATTGAAAAAAAAATTCGCTGAATTATATTAATTATAAATCTCAAAACATACAATAAGAAACTCATCCCGCCAATTATTTAACGAAGTGAATGAAGTCGTTGATGTAACATCATAAACAAGTATACAACAATCAGCTCCACGATAATAAGAAACGCTTAAACTTTGAAAACGTTCTTGTCCAGCTGTATCCCAAATCTATAAAAAAGAAAAAATATTTCAAAAAAAAAATTTATATTTCTACAACAAACATACATACCTGCATTGTCACCAGATGATTACCAACTTGTACGTCTTTAGTTAAAAAATTTGCACCTATGGTTGCTTTATAATCGTCGGAAAATTTATTTGAAACAAATTGACTCATTAAACTTGTTTTTCCAACACCACTATCACCTATTCCATTAAAATCCTACATTTACTAATTTATTTATTTATTTAAATCACATACCCAAAATGATAACTTTTAGTAAAATTTTCTTTTGTCCAGCCATTTTGTCTACAGGTATCAACTGAAAAGAAACCTAACAACTCAAACATATCATCACGTGACATACGAACATCTATTATCTTTTTTTTTGTTTTCGTGTACTTCTGACTTTCACTCTTCTTCTTCTTTGCAAAAACATCAACAACACATTCCTCTTAGCTGATTTAATACAAATGAAAAATGTTCTCTTCGATGTCAAAGTCAGTAGCATTACGAAAAACTGATTCATCACAATAGATAACAACTTTACCGTCTTTCCGAGTTATTTCAAAGGAAAATGTGTAGTCTTTATTCTATGCATTAAAAAATAATGAAAAATTCCAACAAAACTTCAAGTTTAATGTTATTTCACGAAATATTTACACTGATCGTAATATGTCTTGTTGAAATATAATAATATTATTACCTGACTTTATTTAATAGAATATATACATTCTGTTTTAGAATAAATGGATATTCCTGGACACAAGGAATGATGTCTTTTGTCAAATCAATGTTTTAATTGAATATAATGTATAATAGAACTCTCAATTCTTTATTAAAAAGCTTATATACGTATACTAATAATAAGAAAACTCAAGAAATTTTTTAGTTGATCACAAGCTGATTCATTTTGAACAAACTTTCAGAACTAATTTATGTGAGTGTTCGAATTCTGGCGAAAACTTATGTTTATTTGGTGCTATTAATAATTATATTTCAAAGCAGTATATATTTATGTGATTGGTAGGACAAAGAAAACTTAGAATAAAACTTTATCTGCAAATAAGAAAGAGCAACACGTTTGTATTAATCGATATACAACTATTCTATATTTTAGGGTGTGGATGTGTATGGAAGAAGCTGAAGATGACAAAAGCCCACACACATCTACATCCACAATATTTAAATTCTCTAAAAGACGATAGTTCTTTTCTAATGATAATCAATTGCTAGCAAAGGCTGTCTTTTTTATTTCTATTACTAAGTGTGTGTAATTGGGACGGAGGAGAGCCGTGAAAACTTGAACGTAAAACTGATACTCACTATTTTCTTGGAAAATATATGTGAGTTTCGCAAAAGTCTTCCAAAAAACAGTGTCGTAAATTTGAATAAACAGATTTCTCATATCGCTCTTTAGCTATAAGCATATCCTAATATTGGAGAAGAGTCTTAAAAGATGAAACAAATAGTGATCTTTTGAATATTCAATTACATTAAAATATAATAAGATCTTGTGTTCAACAGATCGATTATAGATATTAAATATTTCAATATTTAGCATTGACTCTTGAAGGATTTCATATAATCTCTTTCATAATTTATATGTTTTATACTTTTTCAAAATAAATCTTCTTAGTTCTTATTATTTTAGAAAAAAATCATGTTGTATTTATTTTCATATCGTACTTTAAAGATTGGTAATAAAAACGAAGCATTTCATTTAGCTCTGTATTTATTATTGTATTTCTTCAATAGAACAACCATTTGACAACAATAACATGATAGAAAGACAACACCGATTTTATTTCTTTACAATAAAAAAATAATACAGTTAGTATAAATGTACGAAAAATAACATAAAATGGATAAACATATAAGGAAAATATATCGTAAAGTTCATACTTCATTAATTTTGATAAGTTTTACATTCTCTGAACCAGTCTTTAAATTAATAGGGATTTAATTAATTTTCACTGGCACAGATTGTCTATATTTCTTTTAGCATTGATTGAATACGATTGAACTTGATTAGCTTTAAAGAAAAATGTTTTTTTGACATAAAAAGAATAATTTTGCTTCGTCTCTAAATGATGTTGATGAAACTAGAAAAACCAAAAACGGACATGCAAATGTAATGTAATATGTAATTAAGAGAGTATTTGTGATCACAAATTCGACAGTTCTTTATAATCAGATTTAGTCATTGTTGCAGTATATATTGAATATTCAATAAATATCACATATGATAATGTTGAAAAAAGTATCACTGGAATCTGTATGAGCATTTTGAAGAATAGTTAATTAGTAAAAAGATTCTAAAAACGATACATATTTCAAATGTTTTTTTTTCTTTTGACAATACACTTTAGTGTTTTAAATAGAAATTTGAAACAAACTACGCTTAAGGCACCTATTTTTCAATGACAAAGTATTAGTTGATATTTGGTTTTAAGCAACAAAAATATCTCAGGGAAAAAGAAACTAAGAAATCGAAAGACAGACTGACCTATCTATATTGAAGAAAAGGCAAAGTCAATCTTCTTTTCTCAACCTGAGTGGAGTGTGAGTTTTTTTACGAGATGTTCAACGTACACCTACACCCATCAATAGTTACAACCACATCACGAGCCAAGTGTGTTACGAATACTTAATGATAATTTGATTAAATTCCTGATATAAGCAAGAATACATTTAATATCATCAACAACTAATCCAATATTATTTTCTAACAATGTGAATTCTATCAATTGAGAATATGATGATTTACATGACGGACGACGATAATCTACAATGAAAAGAGAAAGACTTTAGATTTTGTAACATCGATAAAAGGAATAGAAAAAAAAAGTTACTTCATAGTCGTATTTGACATAAGTGAAAGATGATAGTTTTAATGTTATGTATAAGTCCATTAAGTAATATATATATAAATCATCGATTGTTTGCGAAGTTATATTTATATGGTGAAAATTTTTATTAGGTATTAATGATTTATATAAAGCAAGTCCATCAATCGATTGAAAAATAAATGTTTGACGAGAATATATTGGTTTTACGAGTTATGTTAAAGCCTGATAAAATCGGTGAAGTTGATCAAGTTCTGTTAATAAACAATCAATTTATGTCAGATATTTCAAATTATTAAATATTGTATTTATATTGATGTCTTTAAAATAACGTGAAATTATACAAGATATTTTCTCATTATTTAATATTAATGATTGAGGTCGAAGAGCAACTTTTGAATGACAAAAGAATTTATACACATAATCATATTCATCAAATGTCATTCCAATAAATTTTATTTTTGTATAATAATAAAAAATAATACGATGTAGACGAAAATCAGTTCTCTCAGATGTGTTTTAAGTGAACAAAGTACATGAAATTGTCATAGATAATGACATATAAGAAGAAAAATTTCATCAGATAAATCACGTAAACAAGTTACACTACGACAAATATGTTTCGTCGACGATGAATCTAATTTCAACAAATAAAGTATTTCATTTGACAATTTGTCACAATGCTTACTAATATTCTCAAAACAACGTTTCATATTGTTGTCTATGAAGATTTTCATTCTAAGAACATTGGAAGGGAATATGGCGATACGATATGTTCAACAAATACCAACAATGTTTTAGAATTTCGTGTCAATTTGATTTAGATTCAATGTAATGTTATTGACATATTCGTCTATAATATGCATCACAAAAAAAGTCTTATCTAACTATTGGATACATACAATGACTTCTATACTACTGCAAAATAGATATTTCTAATAAACAAGAAAAAAAAACAGTAAATTTAACGATAGAACACTTATTCAATTCGATAATAAGAATGATTCGAATCTATTGTTCGTTGCGTCGATCATTTTAATTCAATATTGAGAAATAATTCAGAAAATAAGACACATAAGAATATCAATGTCCGACATGAGTGAAATTTTTTCTGATCCTACCCAACGTGACCCAAGGATAAAGGCACTTGTTGGCTAATCAGAGCAAGTTGTTTTCAGAAATTAAGCATATTTTTGGTGAATCTATACGAATTCTCTCAAAATTGAAAATGACGAAGTGGCGAGGTCGTCATTGAAATATACACAAGCTTTGTCAGATTTTTATAGTAGAATACAAGACATAATCAATTGTGAGATATATATTTCTATAGATGCTTGTTAGTGATGAAGTTTTTTATGATAAAAATTATAGTTTTATTTTTTTCACAGATGTAATGTATAGGAATGAATAGATCGATAGAAATCGTATACATTATATTGAAGTTTTTCTAATGAAATAATTTATAAAGATGAATAAGTAAGAATTATATTAATAAAGAAAATCAAAGCCAAACAGAAAACATAGAATTAGAACAATTAGCATAAAACGGAATTGAATGAAATTTCAAATCAGTATTTTGAATAAGCCAATAATGAAGTTTTTCATTGGTATAAATCGAGTTTCTTTGTTGATAATTTATTACTGTGTGAAAACAAATCATTTCAGACCAAATGAAATGTTTTTCAGTAGTAGAATCAAAATTGAAAAGAGTTTTGAAACAACGAAGAAAATGATCTTTTTCCAATGGAAATAATAATTCTAAATAATTAACATGTGGAAATTGACGAGCAAGAATATTTATTTCTTTTTCATCAATTAAACGACGTTCAATTATCAAATGACGAATTGAAGGTTGTGGAATACTATTTATTGAACTAACACCTAGAAATAAATAGCTAGAGATATTTTTAACAAAATTTTTCACAAGAAATATTTTTACATGTTTCTTTACTCAGAATTAATTTTGAAATCCGTTGTGGCAATATTATATCAATGGATAAACATGTTCGCAGTTGATGAACTTGACTAAACTTTTTATTTATTTCTAATAATTCATTCTCTCTTGTAATATTAACATTATTCGTATATAGAGCATATTTAACATCTGATGTAACTGATACATCATGTTGTCCATTGACTATAGGTATTTCTCGTTTATCTTGTCTTGTTGATGGCCATGGTAACGAATAAATATGTATCCATTTAGTATTGTCTATCTCATAATAAATATATTTCATTGTCCATCGAATAAAATCTTCAATTAATGTTGTATCACTAATTCGATGAGTCATTGTATAATCAAATTGACAAAGATGAGGAACATATTTATTTAAAATTGATTCCATTGTTAATCCATTAGAAAATCTTGAATCAGGTGTATCACGAATATTCAATATTAACTTACGAAGATTAGTCATATAACCAAGTATATATTCCATATCATCCATAACTATTCTAGTACAACCTTCCAATAATGTAAATTCGATCAATCGAGGACACAATAATTTATATTGAGGACGAGAACATTCTCAAATAAAAATAGTTCTTTTTTAATTGGGAAATATATATATATATTTATATGAGATGATAAAAATGAAAAGATTTACACGATTAAAAAATGCTTATTGAAAAATGTGAATAAACTCACTCAATATACGTGATTGACTTAATTGAACAATCATTGATTCGACATTTGGTATAAGTCCATTGAGTAATATATATAAATCATCAATTGTTCGTAAAATGATTTGAACATGACGAAGAGATTGATGAGGAATTAAACATTTATATAATGAAAGTCCATTATTTAATTCAATTTTAATTGTATGAAGAGTACACATTTGACCAGAGAATAACAATCGATTGATTATTATATCATTTTTCCCGACGTACGAAATATCTAAAACAAATCAAGATTTTTCTTTGTTTATTAATAATCAAAAATAAAATCATTCAATTTTCTTATTCAATCAAAGGTATTGAAAAGAAACATAAAATGTTTGATTATCCTTATCTTTTTTAAATTCTTTATTTTTATAAGATAAATTTTCTTCAAAAATTAATTTACTAATGATAAACTTACCGAAATCTTGCTTAAATTTACGAAAAGTAACATGAAGATATTGAAGTTTTGTCAAATGTTTAGAATGCTGATCGATAGTATAAAGATCATCTGGTAAACAATCAATTAAAGTAAGATCTTTTAAATTAACGAAGATTGCTTCAATTATTTTTTGTGATATTGAAGAAAAATAGTGTGTAATTAAACAAGATACATGTTCATTACTTAATTTTAATGATTCAGGTTGAAGAAGATAATTTGAACTATTAAATAAATTAATTAAATAATTACATTTATCAAATGTTATTGCATCAAGATTGATTTTCGTATAATAATCAGAAATTAAACAATGAAGACGCATATTAGGTGTTTCCGGTGTGTAAAAACAATGAAGAATATCAGGTGTTGACATATAACGACAAATCATAAGTAAAATTTCATTTGGTAAATCAAGAAAACAAGTATTACTACGATGAAAACGTTTTACTGGTGATATTAAATTAATAATATCGTCGATAACACGTTTCATTGTTTTGTTTCAAATGATTTTCTACTTAAAATTAACAAAAACAGTTGAATAATAAAATGAAAATATAAATTTGTTTGGTCAATATTGATATGTATTGACTTCAAGAACAATATGTAACGAACGTATTGAATATAGATGATCGATTATTATTGAATGTCTGAAGTTCGAATTTAGACCAATTCAAAATTTGCCTAGACTAAATTGAAAGTTTGATTTGCCTAGACAGGTTGAATGTGAGTATGGTTTAGGCGTGAATATAGTTCACTTTTTAGTCACACTCATACCCTTTCTCGATTCAACTTAGTATACCTCATACAATTTATGCTTAAAACTGAATGAAGTTAGCCCTTTTTGAATTAAATTATCCGATATACTTAAATCGCGGATAACGTGTTTGTTGATTGTTTGCTCACAATAGTACTTTATAAACATTTTAAGAAAAATGAATCAAAGACTAGTATGTAAAAAAATATGAATGAATAATAATAATTTGTGAATTAGTATTGTATCTCAGTACTAACTGTCCTCTTTACGTTTCAATTGAATTGAATGAAGAAAAGAGAAAAGAATCTTTTGAGGTGTTATAAAACATGGATTTTTCATTTCTGCCTGTCGATCTAACATTGCCTATATGCTATGGACAAAAACACATTGAATGATTGGTAGACAAAGAAATCAATAACAATTAGAAGTTTATCGAATAAACAATAAATGAAGGCGAAAACAATAATAAAAACATGTGAAAAACATATTTTCAAATATCTTTTTGAAATAGAGGGACTATCGGGAGTCATTTTTTTCGGGATTTATTTTTTCAAAAGTTAATTGTTCTCATGATATTTCAGCACATCCACGCTCTAAATTGACTGACACCAGATAGCCTCGGTCAGACAACTTTTGTGAAGTCGGCCGTGGCTTACATGGATTGGCTCTTAAATTTGATAAAACTATAAAACTTTGTAGTGGTGTATATAGGATGTCCAGAAAGGACCGACCATGATCAAAAAAACGTGTTTCGAAGTTCAGCAACGGTGATATCGGCTGAAGGTGTGGCTAGGTGTGGGTATGAGTGTGTGAATGTAGGATATGGATACAAAGACGAGCCCACACCCATATCAATTACATTTAAGATTGAATTCTTCGATTCCGTTTACTTCGAAATAATGATTATGCTTCGTTAGTACTATTAGTAAAGATATAGTAATCGACTAATTCTAAATGTAGCTATAAAAAGCAACAACAACAGAAAATGTACTACCGCAAATCTTGAGAGTTATGATGAGTGAGTCTGAGTTTATTTCAAAGAAGAACAAAGAGTTAAAATCTGTCGAATCATTTCACATATTCACGACAAACGCATTTCATGTTCAAGAGAATGCATCCACAGTGAATGTGCCTTAAAGGGGTGTGGGTGTGGGCGAGACTCTCAGGTTACGTACGCACACCTACACCTATTCTCATTCACACCCAACTGATAAAAGTGGTAGCATTGAAATAGTTCAACAAATAACAAGTATTGATCATTCTTTTTTATTATATAATTCTAAAACAAATACATCTATACAAAGATAATTAATAAATCATTTAAATAAATCGAACAAAAAAAAACAAAAAAAAAATCTTTAGTTTTGATGGTCCTGGTCTATTAATTTGTTCCATTGATAATATGCCAACAAAATTACCATTAGAAGCAACTGTTTATTTAGGTTAAAACCTTCGAGATATAAGTCAAATAAGAATATTATTATTTAATATCTAATAATGGTCGTTGAGCATCGATCATCACAGATTGAATAGACTTATCTCAAAAATTCCAACCAATAGATTCATATTATTTAGATAGTTGAAGTGGCGTAAAACCATTGGGGCAATTGAATGGATCAAGATTATTACTCAAAAATCTTGTACAAATAATAATTGTTTTCTTTTATATATACAGGGAATTCTAACAGCAAATGGTCAATTAATACCAAAGTGTGCTGATATAACATAACTAAGAGAACAACCAAAGGCACGCAGAAAAATTATCTGTTTGATAGTTTCCTGTAAATAAAAATGAGAGAAACAACATAATCAATATAATGTTGTTAAAATATTCAGCTAAACCATCCGATTAAGCTAAAACATTGACAGATTATGAAAAAAAGCCTTCAATTAGTGCTGATGATGCCTGCTAACATATAGTTGAAATCTGTAGCATTTCATTTCTGACTATCGAAATTGTCTTTTTCTGCAATTGAATAGTACGTATTCCATCATGTTGACAATAAATCTATGAGAACAATAATTTTCTCATTTTTTAGATATACATTTGATGACTGTTTTTTTATTTTTATCGAAGGATTGTATTTCATATTGGTGCATGAAAAACTAAGAAATTTTATCTTTGATTGTTATTGTTGATCTGCTTCTAATCTGTTATTAATTGATTTGTTTTTACACTATGTTTAGGTTAAGGTTGAGGTTGAGGTATTTAGAAGCTACCAAGACGTGTTTCGACTGACGCTCAGTCAGTCTCATTAGGTGGCTTAGCATATCTAAGATGCTTGCGGGTGTGGGTGCAATTGCACAAGAGAAGTGAATCCGCACCCTCTACAATGAAATTATTTAGAAAAGTCAATTTATCATCTACTACCATATTATGCTCCAAATGTTACAATCAATGTGAAAAACAACATTCAACAGCAAAAAATGTATCAATGATGAATGTTCATTATTCAAAATAACGTTACAAATAAATGAGATTGTGAAAATTATGAAACCTGATATTCGTAGTCAAATTAAGTCAATTATTATTCCAAATATAAATTTAGGGTGTGGATGGGTGTGCGAGTGGGTGTGGGTGTACATCCTGTCTGCTTTGCCATCCACCCACATCCCACACACCCTCGAGCTCCATGCGATTCCAAGTGAAATTCAACATTTAGACAGTCTTCTATGATCAGTATAGCAAAAAAAACAAGTGCATGCTTGACACAGCGGATATTTTTTGAAGTAATGGATAAAATCTTACGTCACGCTAATTTGGGTGCTTGAGCGACACACGATAGAATTAGTCAAATGCAATTTGACATATCTAGAAATAAAATCAACTAACATATGAAAACGTCAAACGCATGTAATCATTAACACAAATCAATGCGCTGAAAGCAAACTCATTTCATGATGAAAATATAAGCAGGGCATTCTCTTGTGGGCATAAGACTAGATGCATACCAGAGATGGACGAGCTGCGGTGTAAAACCGCCCCGCCCCGCCGGTGTGGCGGTGCTAAAACTTGACGGAGCGGGGCGGTGACGGTGCATGACGAAATTTCGCGGTTTCCCCGCCTTTGTATAATCTTGATTTCTTAAATATACTCAGACCTTTAGAGACATCTTTTAAAACTTTAAAAATTTTTTCACACCAAACTAATCAGTAAAAAAAACTTGTTAGCGCAGCTCCAGAGGAGCTAAAACGTGGAACTCGCATATATTTTTTTTATTTTTTGTCCTGATGCCTAATTTTTAAATTGTAAAATACCTTTTTTCCGAATACGTATGAAGTCATTGATATATTATATAAAAACTAGAGCCTTGTATGCGCTATTGCTGAGGTCTGTCATGGTGGTGGTCAGGGTTGCCAGACCAAAAAATAAAAAATCAGAAAAATTTTTCTAAAAATCGGGAAAATGTCGGAATTTTTGTTCTTGAAATCGGAAGAAAATCAGAAAGTATTTTTCCATGCTTAAATAACTAGTCTATATATTTTCGGTAGCTTCAATATCCTTTATCTTGCTTCTGTTCATCTTTTCGAAGCAATATCGGAAATGATATTTCACAAAGAATTAAAGAAAATATCGATTACACAATTTACTCATGATTAAGAAATCTACATAAGTCATTTGAACAGGATCACATTATTTTTATCAAAAATGCTATAACCAACTTGACGAAACAATAGAATCAGTATTGTAAATTCATACACACACATGCATTTCACATAACTTGTGCAAAAGAAACTAAGACTTATTCTGTATAATGTTCGTTTTTGTTTATACTTTTTTATTAGCTCGAATACTCTTCAAAATATCAGGTTGAGGTAACAGATATTCATAAAAATGTCCACAAGTATAAACAGAATTCATTCCGATTTTCAATTCTGCAACAGCTAAATTAGTACCCATACGATTATGATTAGTTTTATTATGTCTGTGATGAAACAAAAAAACTCAAAAATGAAAATATTCTTAATTATCAGTATAGAAAACGAACAGAGAAAGTTAGTTCATCGTGATAGAAAACTGGATCTTAATTGTCTGTAAAACATCAGAGTTTTATTGGAGGATATGCTTTTCAAATCATTGCAGTGTGGTTTGTTGAGTTCATGACGCTTCACTACCCGATAATTATGGTGAAATAGATCGCAATATATGTGTGGTATCGCGTCATGGTTAAATTATTCTGGAATGTCCTAAGAGCTTGAATTCACAAACAAGACTTCGAAAACCGGAGAAAAATTAGGAAATCTGAAGGCAATCGGAAAAATATGTTAAAATCGGAAAAAATCGGAACGTCGGAAAGTCGTTGAAGAAACTTTCAAAAAATCGGAATTTTTCCTGCCGTATCGGAAGATCTGGCAACCCTGGGTGGGGTGTCTGTAATGGAGTGGAAGAAGGAGGAGAGTCGCCAAACCTCGAACTTAAAACTTACAATCACTATTTTCTTCAAAAATATACGTGAGTTCCACAAAATGAGTGCTTGTATTATAATTGCCTTTCATTTTCATATGCTTATTTTTTTCTATTTCGGAACGATGTTTATGCATTTAAAATATGCCTCTTCATCTCATGAAATGAAATAACCATTATGAAAATTTAATGAAAAATTTGTCAAGAAATAGTTTTTGAAAACATATTTTGGACGGGGCGGGGCGGTGACGGTGCGACTTTTTTGCTGACTCGTCCATCTCTGATACGTATCTATCTATACTGTATGGTTTGATGACGATGAGCTTGTTAA